GAGAGATGCTGGGCATTGGGTCAATCCACACTGTCTTATACCACACGAATATGTCGTCTGTGAGCATTTTGATTAGATCCATGTAATGCGGATATCTGTCTCTCCAGTACAACAGGCTTTTTTTTAGCTTTCTTCCTTTATAGTGTATTTTGTTTTCACCAGCAACTTCTTGGAAGAGGGTATAAAAGCAGGACCTTGACCAAGTCATACATTCTGTCTAGGTCTATGGCTTTCTGATTTCTTTCTAAAATAGGGCTTGGCAGTCTTCACTGCTGCTGAAATAAGGTTTGTCTCTAATATGCTCCGTCTGCTTGAGACAAAATACAATATGCCAGGGAGTACTGTCACCAGGTGTGTTAGGTGTTGTTCTACTCAGTTGAGAAGCTGTTACAATGGATGTGTCATTCATATACTTTCCTGAGATTAGAGAAATATAATTCACTGCCTTTTTGAAGAGGCACAAAGGATCTTGGACTTAAAGTAGCATTCATCAGGCGTGTCTACATGTGCATTTATGGCAACTTAAATTTACTGTTCAGTAAATTACTCCACAGTAAGCGGTAATAGGCCAGTGTCTACACGTGCAGGCATTGAAGAGCATTAACCCTGTGTGTATACTGACTTGGGACTCATAGTTCCATAGTACCTAGGGTCGGAAGGGACCGGAGTAGATCATCTAGTCTGACCCCCTGCCATGGCAGGAAAGATTACTGGGGTCAAACAACCCCAGCAAGGTGTTCATCTAACCGCCTCTTAAAGACCCCCACGGTAGGAGCCAGCACCACTTCTCTTGCAAGTTGGTTCCAGATCCTAGCTGCCCTGACCATGAACCCGTGTTGGTTGCCCCTAAGCATGAAATCCCCTGCTGGCCCCTCATGGATGTGCGCCAGCATAATTTTCTCAAACAGCTTGCCTAGGATCGAAGTAAGACTAACTGGCCTATAGTTTCCCGGGTCCTCCTTCTTCCCCTTTTTGAAGATGGCAACCACACTGGCCCTCTTCCAGTCCTCTCAAGCTAGTCCCAAGTCAGTCCACATGCACAATGTTACTGCGCAGTAAGGAGTACACAGTAGATTCAGATTAGACAGTAAGGAGTACACAGTAGACTCCCCCAATACCTGCTGGTCCCCCCTGACTAGTTTGTAACATGCCACTAGATCCCCCCTCGGCCTT